ATAAGATCAGTAACTCTCCTGGCGACTAAACCAACTTGAATTTGTTTTTCACGGTGAAGGGGATGAGTCAGCACAATTACGTGTAAGATTTAAGATTTCGTTGATTGTATTTTGTTTATTTAGGGTTGATGTAATTGTCATTTTTTTGTTCATTTCCAGGTATATGCGTTAATATATATTTTATTTTTTATTTCCTATTTTCTTATTCTTTCTTATTTATATTTATTTTTTTTAGCATTGTTTCTACCTCGAGCCTTGATCATTCGAAATAAAGAAAGCTCCAAGAGATCGAATAAAAGCGCTATCTATATGGAACAACAATACCTTTAATCAATAGCCTCATATACACTGAAATTCTTTGTAATTAAACATTCTCGACCTCATCAGAAGTGATTAAGTTATTCACGCTGATCAGCTGTGGAATGTTTGAGAATCGTTTCACATGTGGGACGCAGGTGTTGGGGCGGGGGAGCGGAGGTCACGGGGATGAGCAATATATATGTGTGTGTATGTATATGTATGTATATATATATATATATATATATATATATATATATATATATATATATATATAATGAATATACATATGTGTACATATGTGTACATATATGTATATCTATTATAGATATATATATATTATATATAATGAATATACATATATGTATTTGTTTATATATTTATATATATATATATATATATATTTATATATGTGTGTGTGTGTGTGTGTGTGTGTGTGTGTGTGTGTGTGTGTGTGTGTGTGTGTGTGTATGTGTGTAGGTGTGTGTGTGTACACACATACACATCAATAAATACATACATCTATACACACACACACACACACACACACACACACACACATATATATATATATATATATATATATATATATATATATATATGTATATATGACACAAACACAGTAACGTGTACACAAAGATGAAAAGGAAAACTGCCACAATAAGAACTGAATATGAATCGTAACGTTTCGAACTCGAGTTCCTCTTCAGACGAAGAGTTCGAATCGTTACGATTCATATTCAACTCTTACTGTGGCTGTTTTCCTTTTCATATGTGTGTGTATGTATGTATGTATGTATGTATGTATAATATATATATATATATATATATATATATATATATATATATTTATGTGTGTGTATGTATTTATGTGTATATGTATATATATATATTCATATTTATATGTGTGTGTGTGTGCGTGCGTACGTGCCCGCGTGCGCGTGTGCGCCGACAGACAGGCAAGACCCACAGACAGGAGGGCTAAGAGAGCCACAGAGAATTGGCCCCTTGCTCAGCAGCCCGGCGTGTGTGCGTACGTGCGTGCGTGCGTGCGAAGACGTGGGGTGAGTATGGGGTGATGTATCGATGGATGAGTCATCACCGCTGCAGTCAGCTGATGTCGCTCGGACGGAGGCAGCGGCCACGGGGATTTCACAGCAACAGCATCTGGCGGTCACGTGCGTTGCTAGGCTGTGCGCTGACTTAAGCTTGGGTTGATATCATATTTCAATGGGGGTGGGGGTGTTTTTAAGCTTTGATTACGGACAGACATGTATGGATATCCCCACATACCCGCATGTAGACACGTGTACACACACACACGGTCTCACACTCACATAAGACACAGACACAGACATATACGCTATCAGTGATCTTACGTAATTCAGTAAAGTACGTCTCGTAGATATAAAATTGATCAATTCTGCCACCCTCATCAGATATAAACAACTCGAGATATAAACAACATTGATATAAGACGTACTGTTATAACTGTATAAAGAGATAGACACTATCTTAAATAAGTCTCTATGAAATGCATTTGCAGATAACAGAAAAAATAAAAGTTAAGAATACTTAGTCTCACAGAATGCTCTTGATGGAATATTTGACATTCATCGCAGACTAAAAGTAGATATTTTGAAATACGAATTACTAATGACTCCATGAAGGTAATTAGATATATAGCCATATAATTATAGATGAATCATTTCTACGCACCTAAAGTAAAATTAGGACAAGCATAGAATTTATTTTTTACCCAAACAAAGCAATGGAGAAAATGTATGTATACATTTACAAAAAATAAAATAAAGTATACTCTAGATCAGAGAAAAAAAAAACATACCATAGAAAATACGTATAAGAAATTCCGTACCTAAAACAAAAACAACCAGAAACCACATATTTCGCCCAAATCGATAACATTAAATAAAATCCAAATAAAATAAATATAATTACAAATACCCACCACCACAACAACACCAGAAAAAAAACATTAATAAAAAATATAATAGATTAGGTCCGTAGTCCCCTCCCCTCAGCTGACTCACGGGGTGTTGTTGTTGTTGTGGCTGCGAGGGAGGAAAATCGTGTCCTTTTTTCCCTTCTTTTCCTCTCTGGGTGAATATTTCCAACCTCTTCCTGCCTGTTTTAACAGAAATAAGGACACTCGAGTAGAAAGCAGGTCCTGAAAAAGAGAAAG